GAAATATATACCACAACTATCCCCACTTACTTTATTTATTACACCTCACCTACCTCATTTAATACACTCCACCCATTTTCATTAAGAGTATTATGTTAAACTTTCATATTCTTTCAACTCTCCTTAAAACCCACAAAAACTCAAAATGAGAAGATCTTAAGGGGATGGAGGGAGTAATTCTAAATCCAAAAATAAAAGTATTCTTTACCCCCCCCCCCTATACGTATATATGGTAAATAAATTGGTATGTTTAAATAATTCTAAAAACTTTATTCATTAACTGTCTCAGTTTGCTTTGCTGTCAAATGTTTAAATAATTATTTATATAAATATATAATGAATTGAAATATTAAAAATTAGACTATAATCTCAAAATAAAAAATATGTTTGATAAAAATTTCATTGGTCAAACATATCATTCAAAAAATGAACTGTGTGTTAAAAACAATAGAATTACTAATTCTCAAGATTAACTGCATGAAACTAAAAAGACAAATAATTTAGTCACTATGTTCAATCAATGAGAAATAAAATAAAATAATGTCAAATCAGTACTCCGTATGTTGATTAAAATTACCAACTCATTAAAATAATAAATAGACAGAAGATGATTTATTAAAGATGTCATATTAGCTCGTGACTTGCCAATATCATTTAAGCCATAGTCTCAAATTTTATAATAAAAGGAAGGATTAGCCAATAAATGTCATTAGCAATTAATTGAAAGTTTTTCATAATTAACATTTATAACCTCCTAATAATAATTATTTTACATATACCTCGTAAAAGTTTTTCATATGTGCAATAATTGGGAATGAATATTTGCTATAATAAGATGTTTTCATACTTTAAGTTAAAATTGCCAAGTCACTTAAGTCATCAAATGTGTAAAAAAATTTGCCAAGTAGCCTGCCACATGTCGCATTTCTAGGAGTTTAACTCCCAAATATTATATATAAAGGATATATATATATATATATATATATATATATATATATATATATATATATATATATATATATAAAGCAACTTTTGACTTTTGGAACTGTTTATCTAAGCACTTTGACTCATCAAATCCTATCAATGTGTGAACCTATATATAGTCATGTGTGATCTTGTTTGATTTGTCTTAACATATAGATTATTAATATATAATTTCTATAATTTTTTAATATACAAATTATATAAATATATATACATACATACATACGTATATATATATATACGTAAACTTTGAAAATGGCGAGCCTCAGAGTTCCAGTTTCTGTTCCTTCTCTCGCCGATGATTCCAAGCAACTCCGTGTTGTACCTGAGACCCGGGGTAGTCTAGGATATCAACTTAAGAAGAGGAAGAAGGAGAGAAGGATGTAGAAATATAGGGGAGGCTGAATTCAGGAGGAAACAAAGTAGAGGGAAAGAAGCATTTATCAAGTGAATATAAGAGGAATCACACACACTTATCTTCACTCGGGTTAAACTCTAGTATTTAAATAAGGAATCACTAAACTTATTTAATATATCTAGAACCTAAAACTCCCAGTTAAGAGAACCACTCTTAAGATATAGAATTAGGATTTAATATAGAGAACTTAGAGAGAGAACTGAGCAGGAAACTTATATTATCACAATATATTTTACAAGCTGATTAATACAATGAAACAGGGCTGAAATATATAGGCCATGGAATGGAGAAAAAAATACAACAAACATGATTAAATAAAATACAACAAAGGAAACTTCCCACTTCTTTCCTACAAAATAAAACAAATGCTGTGCATGTGTTAATATCCCAAATGAGTTGAATTCAAGGCTAATGATCAGGGATTTGGCATGTATTTTGGGTGGTCTTAATGTATGATTTTCGTCCTTAAGGTGGGAGAATAAAGGAAACAACATGGCTTGACTTTTAGTGAGTAATAGGACAAGATATTACTATTCAATCAAAGACTTTTTGGGCAGGCACNAACTTCCCACTTCTTTCCTACAAAATAAAACAAATGCTGTGCATGTGTTAATATCCCAAATGAGTTGAATTCAAGGCTAATGATCAGGGATTTGGCATGTATTTTGGGTGGTCTTAATGTATGATTTTCGTCCTTAAGGTGGGAGAATAAAGGAAACAACATGGCTTGACTTTTAGTGAGTAATAGGACAAGATATTACTATTCAATCAATGACTTTTAGGGCAGGCACATGGATGAGGGATGAAGCTTTGTTTTGTATTGTAAAAGTCTTTGATTTTGTTGAATAATAACATGGGAATTTCGTCCATATATAGTGGGAATGGTATGTAGCCAAGTGTGTTCCTAAATGACAAAACCTTTACTGTTAAATCAAAGACCACTTTGGTTTCTAAGTTCAGAGACAGGTGATAATCGATTATCTCTTACGGATAATCGATTAACAAGGTGTGTCTGCTAAACCAAGAATTTTCAGAGGTATCCAGTAGTCGATTGACACTACAAGATTAATCGATTAACAAGGACTGGCTTCCAAACTGGATATCTTCAGAGATGAGTGATAATCGATTTTCTATTGGGAGATAATCGATTATGGAGCATTGCAGGAATACGTTAGGAGAATTCAGAGGGAAGCAATAGTCGATTATCTATGTTGGATAATCGATTATCATGTCTAAGAAAAACAAACAAAGTTTTTATTTTGTCTTTTGTTGTTCACCTTCGGCCTAGGCTTAGTAATGAATAACAAAGACTTTATTTTGGGTAGAGGAAATGAGTTTGGATGTTGTGGGAGAGGGTTTGTGGGTTGTGATTTGGTTAGGGGGGATTTTGGGCAACAAGGGCTAAGGGTTGGGCTTTTTGATGGGAAAAAGGAATAAATTCAACCCAATTAGGATTATAACACTCAAGCATTAACCCCTGATTTTTCTTACCCTTTTGTGATACATGGTGGGGTACAGCATCCTCCCCGTCTTCAAAAGAGTTTGACCTCAAACTCGGAGTATAAATTGGCTTGGAATGATCATTGAGGTCTCTCGTGTTTACATTCACGTTCCCAAAAACATGCTGGCTGACTTGAGTCTTTGCTATCGTCTCACGACGAGTTTCATCTATGTATTCAGATTTACCAGCTCGTATCAATGTTGACAGATTAACGGGAGATTTTTCTTCAAGATGAAGAGAAGTAAGGGTGATTCTCTTATTGTCTTTGAGGAATGAATATGTGTTAGCGTATCCATTTGAAGATATTCTCTCGTTGTATTTCTTCTTTTGGACAGGCCATCACACTTAAAGTTCTACGAATGACCAAAAGCTCTCCATCATCAGGTCCGACATACTCTTCTTTTTCTTTATCCCATGAAGGGTCAAAAGTATCATCATTGCACTCCTCAAGAGTCATGACCTTCTTATTGGGACAATCTTGAGCTATGTGACCATTCCCCTGGCAACGATAACATTTCAGATAAAATAAAAGCCAAAACCTTTGTTTGTTTCTTTTAAAGTCCTTTTACTCAGATAATGTCTTTCCTCTTTATTCCCTACAACTAGGGACGAAAATCCCTTCCATTTTATCCATAAATCAGGCCCTTTTTCAACTATTAACAAAGAGAAATGATGTACCTCGGGATGCTCCTACAAGCATGGAGGCTACACCACAAACCATAAAACAAATCAAAGGGTTAATATCTAAGTGTTATGATCCTTTTTGGGCTGAACTCATTAACCTCTCGTATCCTAAAACCCAGACCATAACCATTCTCTTCCAAAGCCTTTCTTGATATTAAACCATTCCATATCCTTCCCAAAATATCCAAAAGTCTTTTATTTTCATTTGGTGAACAAAATAAAGTCTTTTCTCTCCTTTTTAGCCCTGAACAAAAATGAGGTCAGAAGGACAACCCTTGTGTATTGTTTCTACTTCTTTTGTTCCTTTTAATTAAAATAAAACTTTCCTTTCACTTCCCTACATCAAACCCACGAATTTCCCAACTCTTTTACCCAAATTCAGGCCACATTATGTTTTAATCAAGACAAAATTCAACCCACAAAACAAAAACAAAATCAGGAAAAAGTTTTCCTGGATTGAATAGTGCTGATTTTGTCTTGTTGTTCAAAATCCAATCCCCTTCATATCCTTCAGCATATGGCCGAATTTCCCACTCCTAATATCCATAAAAACAACCCCATTTACCAAGGATAGAGATAAAAACATCAAGGAGCCAAAACTATTGATTAAATAGTGCAAACTTGGTCATATTATCCTTAATTGTCAAAGTTACAACTTTCCTTGATTTCCTTCTCACATGGCAGGAATTAATGAACCATACTAAGCCAAAATCCCAGCCTTTTAACCTCCTTTTCCTGGTCAATGAGTGCTGCCCACTAAGATTAATAATACATGGATATTAATCACATGATTTGTAGGAAAGTAAAGTGTAATTTCCCTTGTTTTGCATTATATATTTCGGCCATGAGGCCTTGAAAACACCATCTCATTCTCATTATTAATATTGCTCTTGAAGTATTCCCTGAATTGGTGTGAAGCTAGTTCAATCCATTTCCTAATGAAATATCTCTAAAGTTGGCCACTTTTGAGTGTGTGTTAGGAGTCTATTTAATACTTTAATAGTGATTATTATTGTATAAAATAGATAATAGCCCCAAATATATATAAAGAGTGTATTTATGTCTTATATATTATTTGGTTTATCCTTATACAAAAGCACAAAACATTTCCCTTCTTCTCTTCTAATCCTGATCCTGAACCTATAAATAATCGATTATCCTTATTTGATAATCGACTATTGTAGCCCTCTGATTCTTCTTCAAAATCCACAACCTCAGACAATCGATTGTCAACAAATTGATACTCGATTATCCTTACCCTCAGAAAATTCCTAGTTTCGAGTAAGTCCTTATTAATCGATTATCTTGTAGTGTCAATCGACTAAATGTTCCCAGTTTTGAGCTAAACTCTTTTAATCGATTTACTAAATGTGCTAATCGATTATCTTATACCTCTGAATCTTGAGTGAATCAATTCCTGTTTATTTATCCTAAGTTTAGGTACAACATTTGGTATCAGAGCTTGTTGTTAACATCTCTAAAGGACCAAACACACTTCCCTCACCTTCCTAACCCTTCCTTGATACTTTACCCCATATACATCATACAGAGTCCACAAATTGGTCCAACCAAACACCATGTCAAATACCACTCAAAACATGACCCATGAAGAACTTGTGGCTTCAAATGCAGCCCCTCAAGTTGATTATCTAGCCAAGCAAATAGCCAAGCTCACTAAACAAAAGCTAGCTATGTTGCAATCCAGTGATGATGAAGAAGAAGCTAGTTCCAGTGCCACCATAAGAACTAGAGCTCAAGATAAGTCCGGTTCTGATTTCAAAGTGGATATTCCCATCTTTGAAGGAAAGAATGATCCGGATGAGTTCCTTGAATGGCTAAAAACAGTGGAAAGAGTATTTGATTTCAAAGAAGTATCCGACGAGAAAAAGGTCAAGATTGTAGCCTTGAAGTTTCGGAAATATGCATCTACCTGGTGGTCCAACACCAAAACCAAGAGGAATCGAGATGAGAAACCCCCGGTTGATACCTGGCAAAAGAAGAAGACTCTCTTGAAAAAGAAGTTCCTACCTACTGAATATGTACGTGAGAATTTTGCTAGGCTTCAAATGCTTAGACAAAGTTTAAAATCTGTCAAGGATTACACCAGAGAATTTGAAGAACTCTTGCTAAGGTGCAATCTGCAGGAGAATGAAGAACAAACCTTCGTAAGGTATCTTTTTGGCTTAAATACTCAAATAGCCAACACGGTTGAATTAGAAGGTTTCAACACTTTTGAAGATCTCACTAAATTAGCTCTTAAAGTGGAATCCCAAATCAAGAAGTCCAAAGCCATTTTCTCCCGAACCACTTCCTCTTACTCAAAACCAACTTACACTCCACCAAAATCCACCCCAGGGCCTACCCCAAAATTCCAAAACCATACCTCCTTCCAAATCATCTTTCACCCCCTTTTCACCTAAAACAACCCCTCCAACCAACAAGAGAGCTCCTGTTTGTTACGGTTGTCAAGGTACCAGTCACTATGCCAATGAGTTCCCGAACAAAAAAGATGATGGCCCTTGTTGAATATGATGATGAAGACTTTGACCACTCTTTGGTTGAAGAAGAGATATCCGAAGAAGAAGAAGAATGTGTTGGCCCAGATGAAGGCGAACTTTTGGTCATCCGAAGGACCTTAAGTGCCATTCCCTGCCCCGAAGAACAACTACAACGAGAAAACATATTTCACACTCGTTGTACAATTCAAAAGAAGGTATGCTCCCTAATCATTGATAGTGGGAGTTGTTCTAATGTTGCTGCCAAGACCATGGTGGAAAAGCTTAATTTAAGCTTGTTTCCTCATTCTAAACCTTACACGATTCAATGGTTGAATCAAGGTAAAGGTTTACGAGTTTATACCCGCTGCTTAATTTCCTTGAGCATTCGCAAAACCTACAAAGATGATATTTGGTGTGATATCATACCCATGGAAGCGTCCCATGTCCTTTTGGGACGTCCTTGGTTGTTTGATAACAAAGTGCAGCACGATGGTTATCTAAACACTTATTGATTCCTAATGAATAAGAAGAAGATCACCTTCACACCCTTACTTCCCTCCTCCTCATCCACTGTCCAAAACAGCCAAGAAAGTCACCCCACTCTCATTTCCACCATACTCCAATCTGAACACCATGAGTTCAATGAATTTAAAAACATCATCCTCTTTGATCTCAAAGAAGCTGAACCCAATATTGTTCCAAAACAGCCCCACCCTTTGTTATATCCGGGCCTGGCCCTATCATACCCTCCCCCATGTCCCACACCCTCGCAAAAACCAGAGGACTTACATTCAAACATTATGATCCGTTTTAGTGAGAATTCCGAGTCCTTCAACCCAAGAGGCCAGAATAACTTCGGACCCAAGGGTTCCACATGCCGACTCCCACTCCGTCAAACCCAACCCAAAATATCCAAAACTCCTTTGCATTAATTTCATTTTAAAATGAAGTTTTTATTACTCTTATTTTAGCCCTGGACGAAAATAAGAGTGTGCAACCCAAAACCGTTTGTTTGTTGTTATTTTCCTTCTTTTTAGCCTTTTATTAAACAAATAAAACCCTCCCTTTATTCCATTCATCCCCTGGCCAAAATACACTTCACAATCCCAACATAAACACCCACAAAGAGCCAAAACCTTGACCCACCACTAGCCACTCATTCCTGCCCATGTCCCTCACAAATAACCCAAACCCATATTTCCAAAACCACCCCTAATATTACCCAGTCCTGTCCCCTTTAATTTGCCAAAATAACCCCCCATTTTTTACCCAAATAATAGCCACAAAAATCAGGAAACAACCACTACAAACCTAAAACCCAAAACCCCAAAACCCCAGCCCATTCCTGATTTTATTCCACTTTGGAGACAAGAATAAATGAAGGTTACCCCATGCTTTGGAAGTGGATGTTGCTAGGAAGCTTCCTCGTGTTCACATTCAATGTATTATGTATTTTCCCCTTCCCCTCTTGTTGTACCCAAACTTAGGATAGATAAACAGGAATAGATTCACTCAGGATTCAAAACTATGGAATAATCGATTAACACATTTGGGTAAATCAATTATTAAGGATTAGCTCAACTGGCAATGTTCAGAGGAACCAGATAATCGATTGACACTGCAAGACAATCGATTGTGTGATGTTGCAGATTTTGAAGAAGAATCAGAACACTTCAATAGTCGATTATCAAACAATGATAATCGATTATTAGGGTTTAGCTCAACAGGAAATGCTCAGAGGAAGTAGATAGTCGATTGACACTGCAAGACAATTGATTGTGTGAGGTTGCAGATTTTGAAGAGGAATCAGGGGGTTTCAATAGTCGATTATCAAGCAATGATAATCGATTATTTATAGGTTCAGGATCAGAATTAGAAGAAAAGAAGGGAAATGTTTTGTGGTTTTTGTATAAAGGATAAACCAAATAATATGTAAGAGATAAACACACTCTTTATAAATATTTGGGGCTATTATCTATTTTATACAATAATAATAACTATTAAAGTACTAAATAGACTCCTAACACACACTCAAAAGTGGCCAACTTTAGAGATATTTCATTAGCAAATGGATTGAACTAGCTTCACACCAATTCAGGGAATACTTCAAGAGTAATATTGATAATGAAAAATGAGATGTCTTTACAAGGCTTTATGGCCGAAATATATAATGCAAAACAAGGGAAATTACACTTTACTTTCCTACAAATCATGTAACGCCCCAAAAATAGGCCTATGAGAGTTAATTAATTTATAATTAATTAATTACTGAGAAGGACCCAAAAATAAGTAAATTCTAAAGTTTGTCAATAAATAATGAAAATTATATCAATGTGTAGAGTTTGACTGTCTGACCCTAATGGTTCAATCGGATTTCAATTTGGAGAAAGTTGGACCAAAACGTATACCCCGACTGGGACCAAATATTAGTCCCAATCAGGGACTACATACCAAACGACGCCCTGTTCAATTACGCCGATTTCAAAATCTGAATCACCGAGCAATCAAGGAGGCTGCAAACTCCCTGTCTTCTTCCTTCCTCACTTGGCTATTTAAGGACAACCCAACTCCCTCATTTCATCACCAAAATAACTCATTCTTCCTTCTCTATTGTTCCTTGCTGAGAGTGGACTGCAGTGGTGCTGTCATCTTTGTGTGAGGTTGCCGGAGCAGTGAGATAGAGTCGCCGGAAGTTTCACCGGAAAATTTTCAAAACCTCCCTTACGCTTCAAGGTAAGCCCGTAGATATATCTAATGACTAGAATGTTTATATAGGTTGTTTCTACGTTCATAAATGGTCATTTGGTTCAGTTTTGTGTTTGACATGTTTGAAGAACCAAGAATCATAAACCTTGAATTTGATGTTAAAAATATGTTTTAATAATTCTAATATGATCTATGAACCTTAGAAAACATCTCTATATAGTTTAATTGAAGTTCGGTTACTAAAAGTGGTTTTCCCGAAAAATGGACCGAGGTTGAAGACGAATGAACAGTGGCTGAAAATCCACAGAGTGGATCGATCCCCTTCATTGGATCAATCCTCTGGGAGTTTTTCTTCTAGTTGGATCGATCCAGAGGGCTGGATCGATCTTCCGAAACTCTAGTCCGAAAATTTGTCTGAAATTGTTATTTTTGAGCTCTAAAGTCCTATTTTTGATACCAATTGATTATGATTATTAAAAAAATGATTTATCACAACAAAAATGATATTTGTTAACAAATTAAAACATTATGTGATGCATGATGGTATGTTCGGGTGTTAACACTCGAGACTAGGCCGCTAATTGTTATTAAATGTTATGTTGAATGATCATTATGATGAACTATTATTGTGGCCAATTATGAATGATTAACCTACTGAATAGTATGATTATTGACTAAATCATGATTAAGAATGGATATAACGATTATGAAAAAAATGATGTATATTGTTAAGGATATCTAGAAGAACTCTAAGATATACCCACTTGTATAATGATGATGATTATTAAGGATATCTAGAAGAACTCTAAGATATACCTCCTTGACCAATTCATATTTCGGGGTTAAAACTGTAACACCCTAATCCGTCCAGGTTTACAGCCCCTTCCGAATTAAAGTATTAACTTGGTAATCGTATAATTTAAAACATTTCAAATACCTTTATTCATCATAAATGAAATTTCAAACATAATTGTAGAAAATACGGAGTGTTTAATGCGGAAGCGATTTTTAAACATGACTCATAATAACATAATCATTTATTTTCTCAATAAATCCCCCACGACTGTCTCGCCCCTTCCGCTGCCAAGAACATGCCATTCACTCATTCTGTCTACCTGCGTGTAGCAAATAAAACATACTACACGCTCAGCGATGAAGCTGAGTAAGCATATCTAAAGCGTCGAACATCCACATAAATTGAATCTAAATTCACAAACAACCATTTGATATCATGCACACAATATATGGTTCAAACATTCATAATATTTTCAATATTTTATTCCAAGTCATTTGTTATTCAATATATCAATAATGCTCTTAAATTATTCTTAATCTAAGGCCACATCATTTTATATTCAGCTCTTAGCTATTCCTAGTCTAAGGCAGTAATTCTAACCAGGCCCTTAAACTATAAATAGTTTAATGCAGAACACAAGAATCGATAATCCACCCTATGAGTCATGTGGATTACGTACCAACCGAACAATGATTTGTC